ATTCAGCCGTCTGTCAACCAGTATCCCCAGGTCCTTTTCTGCTGGACAGCTTTCCAGCCACTCTTCCCCAAGCCTGTAGAGTTGCATGGGGTTGTTGTGACTGAAGTGCAGGACCCAGCACTGAGCCTTGTTGAACCTCATACAGTTGGCCTTGGCCCATTGATCCAGCCTGTTCAGTTCCCTCTGAAGAGACTTCCTACCCTGAAGCAGATCAACACTCCCACCCAACTTGGTGTCATCTGCAAACTTACTGAGGATGTACTCAATCCCCTTGTCCAGATCATTGATTAAGATATTAAACAGAACTGGCCCCAAAACTGAGCCCTGGGGGACACTGCTTGTTACTGACCGCCAGCGGGATTTAATTCCATTCACCACAACTCTTTGAGCCTTGCCATCCAGACAGTGAAGAGTACATCTGTCCAAGCCATGACCCGCCAGCTTCTCCAGGAGAATGCTGTGGGAAATGGTGTCAAAGGCTTTTCTACATCCACAGCCTTTCCCTCATCCACTAAGCAAGTCATCTTGTCATAGAAGATCAGGTGTCCTGGGATGGCTGGGATAGAGTTAATTTTCTTCCTAGTAGCTGCTATAGTGCTCTGTTTTGGATTTAGCATGAGAATAATGACACACTGATGCTTTTAGTTGCTGCTAAGCAGTATTTATGCTAAATCAAGGATTTTTTCAGCCTCCCATACTCTGCCAGTGGGGAGATGCGCAAGAAGCTAGGAGGGATCATAGCCAGGACAGCTGACCCAAACTGACCAAATGAATATTCTATAACATGTGAGTTCATGCTCAGTATACAAACTGGGTGGAGTTGGCCAGAGGCCAGTGATTGCTGCTCAGGGACTGGTCGGGCATTGGGCAGTGGGTGGTGAGCAGTTGCATCATTTATTTTTCCTGGGTTTTGTTTCTGTCGCACACTCTTGTTGTTTTCCTTTTCATTACATTATTGTTGTTGTTATTAGTAGTAGTATTATCATCATCATCACCACCACCATCATCATATTTTATTTCAATTATTAAACTGTTCTTAGCTCAACCCATTAATTTTCTTAATTTTGCTTTTCAGATTCTCTCCCCCATCCCAATGGGGTGGGGGCAGGAATGTGAGCAAGCAGCTGTGTGGTGCTTTGTTGACAACTGGGGTTAAACCACATCAGGTTAGTCAAGCAGGACCTGCCTTTCATAAACCCATGCTGACTGAGCCTGATCACCTGGTTGTGCTGTACATGCCATGTGACAGCACTCAAGACGATCTGCTCCATAACCTCCCCTGGCACCAAGGTCAGACTGACAGGCCTGTAGCTCCCTAGATTGTCCTTCCAGCCCTTCTTGTAGATGGGCATCATATTTGCTAACCTCTAGTCAACTGGGACCTCCCTGGTTAGCCAGGACTGCTGATAAATGATTGAAAGTGGCTTGGTGAGCACTCCTGCCAATTCCCTCAGTACCCTTGCATGGATCCCATTTGGCCCCATGGACTTGTGTATGTCTCAGCAGCGTAGCATGTCACTAACCATTTCCCCTTGGATTATGGGGGCTTCATTCTGCTCACCCTCTCTGTCTTGCAGCTCACTGGGTTGGGTATCCCAAGAACAATTGGCCTTACTATTAAAGACTGAGGCAAAGAAGTCATTAAGTAGCTCAGCCTTTTCTTTGTCCTTTGTCACTGTGTTTCCCCCTGCATCCAAGAAAGGATGGGGATCCTCCTTAGCTCTCCTTTTGTTGTGAATGTATTTACAGAAATATTTTTTATTGCCTTAATAAATATTCCATTCCATACCATATGGCATTGTGATCAGAGCAATAAAAGCTAAGAGAAAGGAGGAGGGCATTTGTTATTAAGGTGTTTGTCTTCTGGAGGATGCACTATGCATACTGAAGCCCTACTTCCCAGGAAGAGGCTGGACATTGCCTGCTGATGGGAAGTAAAGAATAAATCTTTCTGTTTTCCTTTGCTTCTGCTCATGGCCTTTGCTTTTTCTTTATTAAACTGCCTTTATATCAGCCCAGGAGTTCTTTTTCATCTTATTTTCTTCCCCTCATCCTGCTGAGGAGGGGGAGTGATAGAGTGGATGGGTGGGCACTTGGCAGCCAGCTCACCCATCAACCCACCACAAAGACCCTACTGCCCCACCCCTTCATAGCGTGCATGGGGACCAGGACACACTCACCCACCCCTGGCCCATGGCAGACAGTGTCTCCACTCTTTCACAGTGAAGGGAGGCAGGAGCTGCAAGGGGTTGGGGGGGCTGCTGCCCCTCACAGACCCAGGGAACACAGATGTTGGTGACTGTTGCCAGAAGTGTTCAATGGCCATTCCTTCAGCGCTGCACAGGTGGGAGCTGGAGTGGGTGTGGGCTGAGCTGGAGGGCCAGCATCTCCGCTCACCCAAGTTTCATCACTGCTGAAAACTGGAAGCTGAAGGAGGCATTGGAGAGGGAGCAGTGGCTCCTGGCAGACCAGCTCAAATCTGAGCCACAGGCTCGGGAGGTGCAGCAGCTGCAGGAGCTGAACCAGCAGCAGTAGGCAGCAGTCCTGCCAAATGCTGTGGTGGAAGGAGGCTGAGCTCCATAAGGCCCGGGAGCTGATGAAGTGGGAGCAGGCTGCCTTTCATCAGATGCAGAAGCTGCAGCAGCAGCTGGCCAAGAAGATGGTGAAGCCGAGCAGGAGCTGCAGGGTGGCCTGCAGCAAGTTCCAGGATGTCCTCAAAAAGTTCCGCTGGGAGATGGATGGCTACAAGCCTATGTGTCTGCCACCTGCAGAATGAGCTGCAGCTGGAGAGGAGAGTCTTCATAAAGTACGTCCTGGAGCAGTTTGAGGGCACACTGCCCACCTCTCCAAGCAGGGCCCTGGGAAATGGGCCCTGGGTCTTAGCAGTGGCCAGCCACCAGGTCAAGCCTCAGTTTTTCCTGTTGGCACTACAGGATACACATCCTGCAAGCCACAGCACTGGGCAGCAGACAACATACAAGGCTGTGGCCAATGCTCTGCTCCAGGTGCCAGAGCCTGCGGGGATAGACTTGGTGCTTCCTGGTAGCACAGGCAAGCAGCTGCTGGAGCAGACCTGCCTGCAGCATGCCCGGGAAGGCGTAGAGAGGCAACACAGTGCCCTCAAGATGGAGAACTGCCACCTGAAAAAGCAAAGCTCTCCAGAAGCATGCGAGGAGGCAGCAAGGCTCCACCAGAAAAAATGCTAAACTGGCTGCCTTCACTGAGCACCTGAAAAATGCAGGCATCTGCAGGAGACCATTCATCACCTGACGAATACTCCAGTGCCACTGCCCATCCAAAGCTCTACTGAGGAACTGTGCATGAAATGGTTTCCTCAGCAGAGGGCTGGAGAGATGAGAGGGCCTGCCGGAGCTTTGCTGGGCACAGGACAAGCAGAATGAAATCTTACAGAAGGTGGCTGAGGAACTTCATGCCCAGCTGGCTGCAGACAAGAAGAACTATATTATGTGAGCATCCTCAGCCAAAAGTGTGAGGAGTTACATGTTATGGAGGTGACAAATGAAAACTCCAAGACTGGCTGAAGAAAATTCTCACCTCTGTGGGCGGATGGGCGGGACAGAAAAGGTTGAAGATTAAAATGCTGACCTGAAGGGGCAGAGGAGTGAAATTCAGCCATCCAAATGATCGGCTGTCTTCACATTGAACTGGAAGATACAGCGGGTTAGGGTAAGGCTTCGGGTTAGGGGTTCGAGTTAGGGTTTAGGTTCCAGGTTAGGATTAGGGTTCAGGTTAGGGTAAGGGTTAGGAGTTAGGGAATGGGTTAGGGTTTGCGTTCAAGTCCAGATTCAGGTTAAGGTTTGGGAACGGTTTCAGGTTAGGGTTGATGTTCGGTTTAAGGTTAGGGTTAGGGTTCAGCTTATATTTCAGGTTAGGATTTGGTTTAGGGTTTGTGTTAGGGTTTGCGTTATGGTAAAGGTTCAGGTTTGGGTTAACAGTTAGGATTAGGGTTCGGATTAGTGTTGTTTGGGTTTGGAATAGTGTTAAGAGTTCAGGTTTGCACTGAGGGTTAGTTTTGGGGTTCAAGTTCAGGTTAGGGTTTGGGTTATGGTTCATGTTTGAATTCAGGTTCCATCGTGGGTTAGGCTTAGGGTTCGGGTAAGTGTTGATGTTTGGGTTAGGATTAGGGTTAGCTGTTTGGGTTTGCTTGTGGTCAGGATTTGGCTTCGGGTTGGGTTCCAGTTCGGTTTAGGGTTCAGACTGGGTTTGGGTTTAACAGAAAAGCAGCCCCAATAACTTAAAAAGAAAGAAAACCCAAATCACCAGAAGGACGCATGAGGGAAGGGAGGTGGGCAGGAAGAGAAGGGATGAGAGCAGGCTGCGGGAAGCAGGCGGGAGGCAGCGGGGGGGGGACGCGGGCACGAGGCATGGCCGACCACCCTCGCCGCTGCCCCCCGCCCCGGCAGCAGCCGCCGTGCGGTATCTGCGCATGCGCCAACGGACGGACGGAGCCGCCGTGCGTCACCGGCTCTGAGCGAAACCCGCCCCGCGGCCCCCTGGGGGGGGGAACGGACCGGGAGGGGGGGCTGTGCCACTGCCGTGGGGTTGCTCTTAGGAAGGAGGCTGCTATAGGACGCAGGGTTGCCATAGGGCTGGTATGGGGCTTCTGTGAGGTTCCTGTGGGGTTCATATGGGACTGCCACAGAGCAGGACAGTGCTGTGACGTTGCTGTGGCGTTGCTATGGGGCAGGGCGTTGCTATGGTGTTGCCATGGGGCCGCGAGCGCTCTACGAGGGCAGGTGCCTGGGCCCCCTCACGTGACCCCCCCCACGTGACATCCCCTTCCGTTCGTGCATTCGCAGGA